CGCATTCTTGAATTGAAACCTAATATAAGATATCTTGTTTATAAAAGTATTTGTAAATAGTTAAATGCTAATAATGTTGAAGGATGGTAATACCATAAATAGAAATCTTTACAACAATATGACATGTACACATTACACTGAATCGCAAATTGGCTTAAGTGAATTATGGTGAAATGGTATACGTACAGGCGTTTGTATGGGATATAGACGTTACCAAAAAAAGACGTGTCGTAAGAAAATATGCAAAATGTATTACCTGTCGGCTACTCGGATAAGACTAGGAATATACACTAGCTCAAATTTGGTAATAACGTTTTACAAGTAGTAAATGATTACATACAGTACAAAATGTATATCTCAGCATCGTGTTCAGTTATTATTAATGGATTGCATAACAAAGCACTTTCTTAACAAATAAATCAAGGCAGACGTGCAATGTTTCTGTCGACAAAAGCGAATAAGCTTATTTTGTCAATCGATTTAATATTTAATTCTCCTATATGGCAGTGATATATGGGGATATGTGTTGATGATGATTTATGGTGGGATTGGATAGTTTCCACTATTTGGTTTGGTAAACAAGCGAATGATAAACTTCTGCATGCACGTTTGATTTCATATGTTTTCATTATTATCAATTGTAACAACAAGATTTCGAGCAAAAATTCCTAAGAACTCCTAAAAAATATTATCGCAGAGAAAGTGTCTAGGCATGCCCTTCTTTCGATACCATCTTTTCTGGTGGTGTTCGCCAATGCCCGGTGGTCGAACATTTCAAACAGTTTTGGGCGTCAAACCCACGCACTGACGATGGTATCATTGAATAATGCAATCGTTATTGTCACAGGCAATCATTGATTACGTCGCATCACCATTACAAATACAAAAAGATTCACGATATTTCATCAGTTTCTTCTTCAATCGATGTTATATCTGCCAATTTTTCATTAAAATTCACCAGATCTCCGGAAACAACATTCCAACGACGTCATTTTCATCTTGTGCATGCGCAGTTCGTCTATTGCTACCGAACATGCTCCAAATATTACCGAATGCTCGAGATTAGCGTAACCCATTGTAAGAATGTGCCAAGAGGTAACAAGAACCAATGTTTGTGAACAAACGATCACAGGGTAAAGCCCCGGGTAAAGCTAAAACAATAGCGTCGTGGCTCCTTCCGTTAGTACCTTCAATGGGTGAACTAACTAAATTACAAGTTATTGTTACACTGTATCAACGTAAGTCCCAACGCAACTTTGAACTTCAATGAACTTTAAATGCTGTGTTCAATCGAGGAATCTATACAATACAATCGCAAAATGACGGTCGGAAATTATAATTATAGCAAGCAAAATATGCGCTCGTAATAAAGTTGAATGACTGAATGCTCTTTGCAAACTTCGTATACGGAACTCTGTTTTGGTTATAAACCGATGCTAGCTTCACGTCCATGTCCTACCATGGCAACATCCGAAAACATGTTTGTTTTTTGAGCGGAAACTGACCTTCAAATGTTGTTCACGCGTGAATTAATTTGTGATTTGTAAACACGTAAAAGTAACATTCCGTAACAACACACCTATTTATGGGTCTTCTGGTGGTTGTACAAACAATGTTATTTTATATGTGTTATAAAATAATTATGTTGGATGTAATATATACAGAGGTGTTTTAGAGCCATCTATTCTTTGTCAGATTTTGTAAGGCACCGATCTGTGAGTTACAGCCATGATGTCAAAGATTACTGTATCTTTACTTGTTGGGCTTGTATCCCTTATCATCTCGGCATTGACTCTCAGCAAAGCATCGCTGCAACCGGATGCCCGGAAGTTTGGTGAAGCGCTTTTCTTATACAATAAAAGAGCGATAGTTTTGTCATTCAACTTACTACACATGAACGTTCAAAATCTTGAGATTGAAATCACAGACCAAACCATGTTTCCATACCACAACGAACTGGATGAAAATTGTAAAATAAACATTACCTTCAATTTCATCAGCAGAATTATTGAATTGTTACCCATTCCCGAAGGAGTGCCTAGTTATATCTGCTTTAATTCGTTTCGTGAAGAACAGGCGTACGTATGCCGCAAATCGCCAGTATATGACAAACAAGTTGGATTTCCGGATAATTTGGGAAGACAGTTATTGAAGAATACAGTTATTTATACATTGTCTTTATATTAACGATATGTCCGATGGTGGCATTATGGTTAATTCCAACTGAAAGAAATGTCGTGAAACTTTTTCAACTTACAAGTCGAGATGGAAGCATGGTCAAATGTATTATCCCTGAGCATCAATTGTTACGTAATGACACAAATGCACCTATCACATGGAGAAATGTATATCATTATTGGGAGATGTTGACAGGGAGCAGCAATTGTAATAATAATTCTCAGATACTACCTCCTACATCACTGGGATGTCTTGATAAGCTTTTAGTATGCTTCAAATCTTTAAGATTCAAGTTGATTATTCATTTGCTTGTATTCATACCTTCTTTTCTTTATGTGGACATTTTAGTCAATTATATAGCTTACGGCTATGGTCCCATAGAATATTTTGAAAACAATGTTGTCATTGCTGTTCATACCGTCATTTACCCACTTACAGCTATTGTGTTAATCACTGCGTTTGCAGGAACATTTTCGGCTTTAATTGATATCTCAAAGTTAGTTGGCAACAGTGTTCATCATCCATCATTTGTCGAAAAAATATTTGTGACACCATACGTAGATGAAATATACAAAAAATTCAGGGCATCTCTTAGTACCGGGGGTTTTCAATCCGCACATATGCACGAGAACTGTTTGCACCTCGTTGGCAAAGTAGTTGTTCAACGTACTTTAACACTTCTTCAACGAAAAACATGGAAGTATAGTTGTTTCGATAACAGAACAGTTTCATTTTTTATATCGTTTCTTCTTTCACCATTTACAATTTGTCTATACTTACCCCTGTTGTCGTTAAGTATGGCTTTTTATAATCTGTACGTACAATTTAATGTCACAGAACGAAAAGTTAATCGCTCGTTATGTTTTCCGACAATATTCTTTTTTTATTCTATGATTTCCGTAATTGGCAGGTGGGTGGTAATCGTAGACTTCTGCCGACATACTCTTACGGGTGTCATCATTAATATAGATGACTTAGCACCTTACATTACTGTTACCATTCTAATTGTTTATTATCTAAAAATCATTTACTCTAAATTCACTTCTTTCTATCTAAACTTAAAGCACATAACTTTTGAGGTATTTTACGCTTGGAAAAAAGAATATGACACCGAAACGTCAGTCACATATGTTACCGAATCACCGCACTTCAAAGCAACCTCGATACCGGTACGATGTGAAGCACTCCTTTTTGAAAACATTCCGTTCACACAATATCTCGCGAAATTTGATTGCATCCCGGAGAAATTGTTCATGGAAATCTGTACAAAACTAGCTCCCGTACCAGTGAGGTTCTGCAAGTCATTTATAAAGTTTGTAGTTTTAGCAGTGTTTTGTTTTCTTGTATCCGCAGTGATTGTGTCTTTCAATATCGATCGCCCTCTGTCGGCATCACTTCTCGTGGCTATAATTGGCATACTGCCAGAGCTTTCGTAACTTTTTAAAGAAAGAACTATGGAAAAAATAATGTATGAAACACAAATGAAAGACAGTGTTCGCGACATTCTGTGTACTTTCAGTATGACTTATGATCGGTGCGCAGAAAATTTACCTTCTGACAGTAGACAAACCGTCAATAGGAATGCCGTGACACCTTATCCAAATGCAATCGTCCTCGAAGATGTAGAATCCTACGACGTAAAGTAAATAACTGACTAGAGCAAATACTTTGAACAACGTAATTAATACGTTGTTTCTTGAACTGTATCTCAAGCCGAATTGTATTTTATAGTACATCTTTCTTGCAAATGTGTTGCTCAATTTTAAAGTCAATGTGTGATGAAATATGTTGCAGGATACATATTCATGCGTACATCCGTGTGCCAACATACTAAAGAACGTGACGTGTGGAAACCATGGCTACGGTGAACTACAATTGAAATTAAATGAATTATAGTTTATAGTAAATGAGTCAACACAAACACCTACACTCCAGAAAGAATCCGTCAATGGCTGATCTACAATACCCCGTTTCATCAAATCGCCCTCTATAAACGAAACGCGTTTGTGACATGAATGTAAAGTTTATACTATCTTTGACCGTCGTCTATAAAAATACTGTTTTTTTCCAGAAAATCCCTACGACGCACATCTAATCAGATTTGTTGGCGGCCATTGCCTTCTACCCACGTTCACTACGTCATTTTGACGTCACAGAAACGTTTCATCGTTAGAGGGCGCAACTTAGCATTTTGGCTTTTGAATAACCATAACATACTACTTATAATACTTATGGTATACAGCACTATTCTTGTATAACATATCTTCATATACTTATCATTCTTATTGTGAAACTTTCAACTTTCATTTTGTGAAAGTTTTATTATATCTGTACTGGAGTTTTGATGTTTTTCTTCATCAAACTAATGAAACATCCTATTTCAGACGTGTATATTGAAATATTGTAACAGTGTGACACAGAATGACAGCATTTGATTGT